GCAAAGTTGAATTGAGAAATAATAAACTAGTTTTAATTAAGAAAGGACTTGTATCGCTAAGTTTTTTTGGAAATAATTTCTACGGAAAATTAACCAACGACCAGAGACGTAACAATAGTAAAACCTTTTACAAAATAATAATGACATGTTCTAGCATAACTTAATAAATTACTTACCAAAGAACCACCAGAGGGGGTTAAAATAAATTAAGAAAAAAATATATTTAGCCTAGTAACGTAGAATTAAATATACGAATAAATCAAACATGAAATATTTAAATTAATTAGTTTACATTACAGTAGTAGTAGTTTAATATAATAATGTTACGCCTCTATTCGTTAGTTAATTTTCCGTAAAAATTCTTTCCGAGGAAACTTTAGCGATACATGTCCTTTCTTAAACAAAACTGGTTTATTCTTTCTGAATACAACTTTACAATAACTTAATTTCCACAGTCGCGCTATAACAAACGCTATAATTTTTACGACAGCGGGGGTCACGTGACTCTAGTAACGCGAACGTTCTCGAACGTTCACATCCCTTCGTGAAGTCTCGAGAGGCTACTAGATATGCGGTAGTATTGTATATATAAGCCGCCAAGAAGTGACAGCAACAATGTGTAATTGACAGCTGAGTCGAGCACGTGAGACGTTCGTTGTTCAATAATCATCAGTTCTCTCCTGCTGCAATATGGTATAGATAAGGGGTTAGGACACTCGACTCGCAATCTGAGGGCCACAGGTTCGAATTCTGTTACCAAACGTACTCGCTCTTTCATCAAAGAAGGCGTTATATTTTGATGGTTAATCACATTTTTTGTCGGTAAAGAGTAGCCATAGAGTTAGCGGTTGGTGGTGTTGACTAGCTGCACTCGTTCTAATCTATCAATTCTAAATTAAGAACGGTTAGTGCAGATAACCTTCGAGTAGCTTCCTGCGAAATTCAATAAACAAACCAACTGTTTGATCTACCATCGAAATATAAATCAGCACCGTTTTCCATAGGAACTTGAATTAGAGGAATATTAACTAATTTTTAAGAGTTTATGCGCTATTAGTTTATGCAAATTTTCTCATTCTTTTTGTTTAATGTTTCTAAATATTTGAATAATAATTTTGCCATGCTTATGACAACTAATGGTTAGCTAAGATATGGTTAATGTAAAAAATAAAAAGTAAAATAGTAGTTTTATGTTATATTAGACTAAGAAACGTGTTTTAGTTACAACATATTGCTATCTGTATTGCGTTTTTATTTATATTTTTTCGAGTTGTTCGAAAATTTCAGATTAACATAGGGGGTGCAGAAACTAAAATGTTTATACATTGCAGTTCTAGCGAATAATTGTTTCGGAAACTATTTAAAAGTCAAAATGAATAAGTGTTTGAAAGAGAAGGATGTTGTAAACACGTGATTACTTTTCGATATATTATGAATATATTTTTAGTACCTTCAGTTATAATTTATATTCGATCATTGAAACTTGAAGCTAAATCTACTGACCACTGAGTTTGAAGTTGAATTTGAACATAAGTTACTCAGTAAACTGTGCAGGTTATTATAATTATAAATTAATTTGAAGTGTGCTGTTCAGTGTGTCTGAAATGACGAATACTAATATCGGCGATTTTTCAGCACCATTTAGGTGGAAGGGGGCACTTTTTAGAATACAGTATAGAAATTATGATGCTGAGGATCCCACAATTCCCAACCAGACGGATGTCACTGTCAGAAAAACTGATCTATCAATTCTCAGCTTTGAAAGTTTTCCTACGTTAAAAGAATGTTGTTGTAAGGTGTTAGTTTCTGATGCTTTACTTGCTAAATATGCCTCATCCCTGTTGCCCTCTGAACTTCACTATCATATGATGAAAAAAGCTTTAGAGAAAAGTAAGTGTAAACAATTCATCTGTATATTAAATTTAAAGTTTAAACAGCTGAAATGAATACCATTACAACTTACAATACAAGTGTTTCAATTAAACTTGTAATAATAGTTTTAATTTCAGCTAAGCTGTGAAAATATAAACATCATAGGTATGAATAATAATTTTGCCCTGATTGTAATAACAACTTGTAATGGGCTAAGACCTGATCAATGTGAAAAAAAAGTTTCAACATTAAAGAAGAACTAATTGCTTGAAACAAAAAATTTAAAATCTTTTGTGTTAATTACAAATAGAGCAAGCTAATTTTTTAAATCAGAAAATTGAAGCCAAAAACTCCTGGATGGTTAAGTATAAATCATTATGTGTAATATTTTGGGTATTCAACATATTTTAACTTATAGGTCAGCTTCAGAGAACATGCTCAAAAAATATCTTTCAGGACTTGGTACAGTGTTGATTTTCTGTATTTTCAGAGTGTGATTAGGACACTTTCAGTTCTCAGTGGAATCTTTAAGTTAGAGCCAACATAAACTGCCAGAGATTTGTGATTTTTATTGTTAAATTTTCTGTCCACCATAATGTGACCATTCATATAAATGATCCTTGAGCCATCTATACTTATTAATTGCTCTTACAATATTCAGATGTTTCCATGTCTACTAATGAGGAGAACATGGTATACATTGAAGTATAAGATTTTCTCGGAAATCTAATTGTAATCTTTGTGAATGCCAAGTTTCAAATGCATACAAGCAAAGATGAAATTCTTAATAAAAAAGTGCGGATACTCATATAAGCATATAACAAAGGATTTTGCTCATGTGCATAATTTATAACGTTGTATACTAAAAAGAAAAATACATAAAACTGTTGTTTTGATGGATTTAAAGAAACAAATGTATATATTGAACAGGACACTAAATTAAAAATTCCATAATTCTAAACTTACCTCTGATATTCTTTTTTTTTTTGCTTCCTATTCCATTGAAAGACAAATAAACATTGTACATCCTAGTGTCATGGGTGAATACTGCTTGCAGCACATCAGCGAGTAAAATTCATCATTTTGACCAAATCATACAAGTTACACAACCAGATGAAAGTATCCATTTGGGTTAATAATTATTGACAACGAAGGTACTACAGAACTTATCTTCATGCTTTTGTTGCCAGCAAGAACTAATGTTGTTAGGCTATTTATTGATTCATTTGAAGAATATTTAATGTTTTTTTTTAATATTCTGTGAGTCATGTTGTGTCTGCTTTTCTCAAGTATGATGAAAGGCATGCAGGTTGGACGAAATGCAGACGAAGTCGTGGTACTGAGTACTGGTGTGTACCAGAAGAATTTCACTCCTACCTACTTATATGGCTTTTATAATGAGTTGCAGTTATGTATCTATGCCATTTGTGGATGTGAGCAACAACATGGTGGCTATAGTATTACTGAAATCTTATGTAAATTGGGTTTCATCCATAGTAAACATGATGTAAATGATATAAAATATTACACTTAAAATAGGTTTTCTTTATATTATGTAACTATTTTTTGTTATTCAACCAAGATAATAGAAACTTGGATGCCATTGTGGATCAAGTTCTTGAATAACACTAGTATAAGATCAGTTATGCATTTCTGTCTAGGGTGCTCCAAAGAAAAGTTGGAAGTGGGGGGGGGCTAAAAAATACCAGGATAAGTTTGGGTGGGAACTTGAAAATTTCCAACATTTTATTAAAAACTATATTTTTGTATTTCATCACCATATCAAAACCATTTGTTGCTGCTAAGGACATAAAATCCTCAAAATATAAATATATAAATTTCCTTTAGAAACAGTTTAGATGTTTATATCTTAAGATTTTGAAAGTTTTATGTTTAATGCACTTTTTTCAAAATAAAGTAGACATTTAACATGTATTTTATTTCTTGTATAACATTAAACAGTTCAGTTTTCATACCTAAATCAATATGGCCTGTCTTTTCTAGAAAGAGATCGGTCTGTAAATGTCTTACTGCAAGTATGGCCAGCTGTTTCACTGACATTGAGAACACTTCTTCCTCAACTCTTTTGCACATCTTCTGTTCTCTATGATGACTTGGTTTACCGATCACAAATACAGCATGCAATACTTTGTACCACCAGCCTTGTTAGAAGCCTGATGTGCATCATTGAACATCCAGATATTCTTTCTGTGGGAAAATTAAAGATGCTTGATCTTCGCTGCTTTCCTACAGGTATATATGCAAGTGTAAGACTTAAAGTTTAAGGAAAATGAGCTTTTTTTAACAAAATATAATAATAAAAAGAAAAAGTTATATTGTATTGAAATGCATATAAATATTTTAAGAAATATGTAAATAAAATCTTGAAGATTTACATTTTTGAATTTGGTAGAAATTTTATGTTGGCAGAGTAAAGTGAATATAATAATACAATTCCATAGTAGTTATAATGGCATAATATGAAGGTGAGTACAATAACATTACAAATCTTGAAATTATCATTTTTAATGGGGTCCAAGAATAGCTACTAATGACAAGTATTTCCAACAGGGAGGTTCTGAACATCATGATAATGAAGTTAGGTGACCTATGTGTAGATTTTCCTTTCTTTGGTTCAGTTATGCCTAAGTTATTTAGTGATATCTAAACATTCTTCTTTTAAGAAATCATCGGAGTTAACTACTTAATAGAAATTGTTTATTATTCAAAACAAAGGATCCTAGAAAGATTTTTATGCCTATTTAGCAGCATATATTAAATATTAACCCTAATTATTCGTTGTTTAAGCTCAGCTTTCCTAACTACTATTTCAATTACCATATATTACTAACAATTATTTTTTTTATAATATTTGTTATCATTGAATATACACAATGGTGATATTGGTACATTCCACTTTTCTTAATTTCAATAAAATTCTGTCATTTTGTACTGTTATCCACAGGTAACTTGTGAAACGTGATCTATAAGTGATGTTTTTATATTTGGGGTTGTAAAAAAACAAGTGCTCAAATTATTATTCTAATACATCAAAATAGTTTTTAATTTTTTGGCTTACAAAAGCATAAAAAATGTTGATACTACATTGCACACGCAGTAACTTGAGCACCACTTATTTGAAAAATACAGTATGGTTTTTAGCCAAATAAACACTCCAGTATTGTTTATTAACAAGATAAATAACTTTGTACAGCAATGTCTGTTTTGCTTTTGTTTTTTTGCATAGGGAAGTACTCTGAAGTAAAGATTAACTGAATGAAAAGATATTAGTGTGAAACACAACACAGCTATGGTATGTTTATTGTGAATAAATGCTATTGACAGATCTGTAATGAACTGAAATATGCTTGATAACACACAGGTTTGAGCTTACAAGCACTGTAGCAAACATGTTTCAGTATGTATTAAATTACATCTGCTGAATTTACCCAAAGAAGCCAAACATGAACTAGATGGTTCTGAAGAAGAGCACAAGTACCATCACATGCTCAAGAACTAATAAGGTAGTCAGGATTCACAACATTAAGGACAGGAACAATTTTAGCCATCAGTTACTAAGAACTGAATGTTTTTTGAACAAAACTTTTTAGTAACTTATTACTGAGGACCTCCACTGATTTTTGATTTTGTCATTACTTCATGATAGTTATAGTGGAACGACATCACAGTGGGTACAATAGAGTGAGTTCATAGAAATTGTTTATTATGAGGTCATATTAATTTCATTCTAAGCTTATGATGGAAGCAGTGCTGTGAGATCTTAGTTGATAAAACTGACATAGTTTGGTGATGGATACGAGCATAAGTTTATGGTGGGTCAGTTTTATCAACTAAGATCTCACAGCACTGCTTGTAGTTTGGTGATGGATACGAGCATAAGTTTATGGTGGAAGCAGTGCTGTGAGATCTTAATTGATAAAACTGACATAGTTTCATGGTGTATACAAGCATAAGTTTATGGTGGAAGCAGTGCTATGAAATTTTAGTTAATAAACTGACATAGTTTCATGGTAGATGTGAGCACAAGTTTATAGTGGAAGCATTAATGTGAGATCTTTGTTGATAAACTGACATAGCTTGGTGATGGATACGAGCAGACATTTATGGTGGAGGCATTGCTGTGAGATCTTAGTTGATAAAACTGACATAGTTTCATGGTGGATACAAGCATACATTTATGGTGGAAGCATTACTGTGAGATCTTAGTTTATAAACTGACATAGTTTGGTGATGGATACGAGCATACATTTATGGTGGAAACTGTGCTATGGGATCTTAGTTAATACACTCACATAGTTTCAAGTTGATAATAGATACAGAATAAGTGTGATTTTATCATAATGTATACACTAGTATGGCTTCTTAACGAGTACAGTAGTGTGAATTCAAGGTACGCGTACATGTATTACTTTAAGATGATTTTTATACCATAAGTACATATTAGAAAGTAGAATTTGTTTATTGTGGATACATTTATGGTACAGTATGAATACAGATATACAGCTATTACTTCAATGTGAGTATTGTTCTGCAAGAAAACTATGAGTACAGTGAAGTGAGTTTGTGGGGGGATAAAGGTAACATTGTTCTTACTGATGTTTTTACAATAGTTTGTTGTAGGTAGGTTGTTTTGAGCAGATTAGTTACAGTTCCATTACATCGTATTGAGAACAGTGAATGCATTGGTATGATTTATACTATGTTTAGTAGCTCAATTCATGGTGTATTTAGTGGCATGGGTTCATGATGTCGACATTGGCACTGATTCAGAATGTAGTATTTTGGCATGAGAATATTGAATATATTGGTGTGATTTCATGGTGAGTACAAAGGTATTAGATTGTTATAAAAACAGTGGATCAAAAAATTATGATTACAGATACACCAATGTGACTTTGCTATAAAACAAATTGTTTTG